CCCCCTCCCCGTGCTCCCTCGCCGTCCTCCCTAGGACCTCCGACGTCGCCGGGGCGTCGGGGGTCACAGATTCGGCGTAGTCTGGTCGTATCTGTGACCCCAACCTGCCGTTGTCCGAGCTGTTCAGGACCGGACATGTCTGAGCCCAGAGTTGGAAGGATGCCTCAGGCGAAACGAGCCGCCTCGTGAGCGGCATCTCTGAGCCCGGAGTTGCGATGATGTGTCAGGCGAGACTGGCTGGATCACCTCAGGTCAGGGCGTAGCTGAGCCCAGAGTTGCGAGGACGTTTCAGGCTCAGGCCAGACTGGCTGGACCACCTCAGCCCACGGCAGATCTGAGCCCAGTATTCCGAGGATGTCTCAGGCGTCGTCGTCGTCGACGCCATCATCGTCGTCATCGTCGTCGTCGTCGTCGTCATCGTCGTCCGTCTCCTCCTGCCATAGCAGGCCAAGAATGCTACGTAGATACAATCATGCGATACATATCACACGGAACGTGCCCCGGGGCCAGAAAACGGCCCCGGGGCCAGAAAACGGCCCCGAAGAATACAATCCGAGGCCGAGTGTCAACCAAAACAGGCGAGACCATTTTTTGATGAGAAATTGCTGCTCAAGGGAGACAGAGAGAGAAAGAGAGAGAGGCGGAATCTAACACACGCACACACAACACGCACACACACACACACACAAGCGCAGTCAACCCAAGCTCCCGTTCGTCCCGTGTCGCGTTCACGCTGCAGTGCTGCCCGCATCGTCATCTACTCAAACTGAATACCACCCTCCTCTCTCCCCCGCAGTTGCGGGAACCGCTCGCAACGACCCGGACAACAAAGAAAACACAAGACCCCATTTGGGGTCGGCGGCAGAGGCGGCAGCCTTTAAATAATATTGTCCTCCGCAAACTGACCTACGCCGAATTATTGCCATTATTGCTCGCATTGCGTCCATTACGGCGCACGCGAAAACAAATGCAGCGCACAGCGATCGCAATCTCCTCACGGACCCAACGATGCACGATTAGCTCGGACAAATATGAGAAACGAAGGAACGATTCGTGGTGCCAGGACACTGCGCGGAGTTGTGGGAACATAACCGACTTGGGGAAGCAAGGGGAGTGCGCACCCGGAAGGAAGGAGGCAGCAACGACGAGGAGACCAAGGGGGACGGGGGACGGGCTGGGAAGGCGGTGGGTGGGAGGATCAGGAGGACGAGGACGAGGCAGTGCGGGAAAAAGGATTTGAACTGGAGGGATATAGGCAGGGCGAAGCGCGCAACAGAGACGTCTCACGAAACTAGGCAGGGATTTGGTAGATCTCCTTCCCTGTTTTTCCGTTGGCCGCGTTGGCCCAGCGCTGATCTCGTTGCGACTCCAGGGCTGGCATGCCCGCATGCAACTTTTCCGCTCCGTCTTCGCCACCGCACAATTTCTGCGTCCCGCTCTGCCGTGGGCTCACGCCAAGTGCTGGGTGCTGAAAGACGTCATCTGCGAGACGCGGACACAATCGGCATGCGCAGCCGTCCTCCCTTGATGGCATGCGCAACCAGGCGCAGGACACAATGGTACCCCTGATCTGGCATGGTCGACCTACTACTCAGGGCCGACTGTAAGATGCCCATGATGCTTTGTACGATGACTCATCAGGGGCTTCAACACGCCCACGAGGCCTCAAAAACGCCCAAAATGGTCTTAAGACGGCTCACCAGGCCTCAAACACGCCCCGAGAGCGCCCCAAGAGCAAAGGGGCCTCAAACGCAAAGTCATTGATAGGTTTCGCGGACCAATCCCACCAGCCTTTTAGGGCGCGAGTGGTTCAGAGCGTTTTCTCTTCCAACCTTCTTTTTTCCCCTCGGAGAAGGGGTTTGCCACACTTCCTATTAATGCGCACCCCCTTCCTCAGGCGACCTGCGGCCAACCAGGACCCATGACCCCCCCCAACACCATCTCTGTCTCAAAACAAAGTGAAGTTAACTTTTCGACAAAGTCTTGGGTCGTGCTCGGTCGAGCGCGCGAGCGCTTTGTATTGTTTCTTGAAAAGGACGGCCGGGAGGGGGGGGGCGAATTGTGCCTGCTGTGCGCAGGGCCGTCATCCCTGCCAAAAAACAATACGCAATGCACTCGCGACATAATCTGAATCATGGCACCCCGCGAGCACTTTGTATTGGTTTTTGACAGGGGCGGCGGGGGTGCTGGCATATCGCCTGCTGTGTGCAAGCCTACCAGTCACCACGAACGATGGCCACCCCGCCGCGATTGCGCACTTGCTTTCGACAAGCGTGGTGGGGGTTGGCATGCTTCCCAATGTGTGCTGTCACGTGCGCGGGCGCACCTGGCACGCTCTGCCCGTGCCCCGAACGTGGCGCACCTGGCGCGGCTGGAGCATGCGGCACACATGGCGCCCGTGGCGCACCTCTCCCCAACGTCGCGCACACGGGGTCTGCTTGGGTTCCCGATAGCTGCCCATCCACTGGTCGCGGACAACAGCGACGACGACGAATTCCTGGGAAACCCTCGAGATTCTCTGGAAACCCTGAAAGATTCCTTGAGACATGTGGGGAAAACAGCGTGACGTGATCGGGGGGGGAGGGGCGTTATCGCCCAGGCAAAGAAAACAGGCTCTATAATTACCCCCTCCACGAAGGCCTCGCCGAGAAGGCACGCATCATGGAATGTCTAGGAGGTTTTGGACAAATTTTGGCCTCTGGGGGGGCCTCATTTGCGACGGGGTCAGATCCCAACTGGACGGCCAGATCCCGACCAATAAGAACACCAGAACCGTCCAGATCCCAACCGCCAGACAAAGCTCTGTAAAGCTTTGTTGTTGTCTCGACAGAAACCGAGTGGTATCCCTCAAAGGAGCTCATTCGGTTTTCATGGTGCTCATTTGGGATATAGACCATTCCAGTGCGTTACTGCTTAGCAAGTCCGAGATACCCTTGGAGGGCCTTTTATCGGTCCAGGGCGCTCTAAGAAGGCAGTGTCTACAAACGCATACGAAGCGTATGCGAAACTTGTGCAGAACGTATACGAAACGCTTGGGACGAGCATCTGGACGTTAGCAAAAACGCATACGACACGTAAGCCGAACGTACACGAAACGTATACGCAACGTCTCTGACACGTTATTGCCTTGTCTCTGCGACGCATCCAAAACGGCTGCGACACGTACGTGGGACTTGCATGCACATGGTACGTACATTGAACGTCTACGACGGCTAACTGCAACGAGTATGGAACATGTATGCAATGTGTGTGTTTGCAAGGCGCGTAACTGGAACGTGTATGAATCGACTGTACCAACGCACAAGGAACGCAATCGAATCGTACTTCTCCAACGTATACGACTCCTACATGAAAATATAATATAATAGATACAACGTATACGAAACGCGTATGCAACGCATATGACAAATAGGCTCGTACTAGAACACAACAAAAACTTAGTGAATGATTCGTCAATTGGGCACCTACCATTTACAACAGAAAAGGAGAAGCGGTTAACACCATTTTACACTGTGGCGCAAAGCAAGGATCAGCCGCTTGCGGCCCACCGCCCGCTCACTGTAGCGCGGGTGTGTAGGGCGGGTGGGAGGAAACAGAAGCAACCTGCCCGAACCTGAAACAATCCTCAGGGGTCCTCCCGGATCCTATAGAAACCCTCGTGGGGTCTCTCAGAATCCTCCGGGATCCCTGAGGGGTCCGAAAGGGAATCCTCATGAATCCCGAAACAATCTCCCAAGAATCTTATAAAACATCCAAGAACAAATCAAGAATCCTCAGAATTCGCTGACAAATCCGGAAAGACATCCCGCAGGAATCCCTCGGGAAGCCGCAGGAATCCTCAAGAGTCTTGAAGGATCTAAAGGGGAATGCCAAGAACCCTTGGGAAATCCACGAGAATCCTTCGGAATCTTCTGGGATCCGCAGGAATCCCACGAAATCTGTAAGGAATCCCTCAGGAAGCGTTCAAAGTCAGGAGCCCAGCAGGAATCCCTCAGGAAGCCTTTTGGGAATCCTCAGGACCCCGAAGGTATCTTTCAGGAATCCTTTTTAGGAGTCCGACAGGAATCCCTCAAGAATCCCCAGGACACCTTCAGGATTCTTGAGGACTCCGCCAAGAATCTTCAAGAATCCTTAAAACACCGCCGCAAATTCCGGAGGAATCCTATAAGAATCCTCAGGAATCCCTGAAGAATCTTTTCGGAATCCTGTAGGGATCCTGAGGAAACATTCAAGAATCCCTGTAGAATCTTTCAGGATCCCAGGAATCATCTGAATGTCTTCGTAATCCCTTGGGAACCGTCAAGAATCCTGGATGAATCCCTCAGGAACTTTTTGGAACATGAAGAATCCCGAAATCTTCTAGGAAATCCTCAGGAACCCTGTTGGGAAATCCTTAGGATTCCTGAGGAATATCAAGAATCCCTCTGCGATCCCAGAGAAATCCCTCAGGATTTCGATTGAAAAATACTCATGAATCCTCAATAATAGCCTCAATGGAACCCACGGGGATCCTTCACGAAACCGAGGAGGCACCTGCAAGGAAGTTCCGGTTCTGTTACTGGTTTGGATTTGGCCCGTCCAGTTGGGATCTGGACTGTCCAGTTGGGATCTAGACCTTCCTGGGCCATTTTTTGCCCCCTCCCTTTCTTTTGTCGAGCTCCTCAAATATGGCCCTGAGATGCCCCCCCCCAGGCTCTCTTGAGTGCCCTAAGTGGCGCCCAGGCGACCCCAAGAGGCCCCAAAGAGGCCCCAAGAGGTCCGCAGGATGTTACTAAGAGGTCCCCAAGATGTCCCCTAGAGGTCCCAAGAGACTTACCCCAGGCACCCAAGACGCTCCGAAAGGCCCACGGGGCCGCCACGAGGTTCCCAATAAACTCCAAAAGGACCCCAAACAGCTCTCAAGAGACATCCAAAGAGACTCCGAGGGGTATCCAAGATCGGCCTATCCTTCCTCCCCCCTCCTCCCTCCTGCCTCCTCGTCCTCCTCCTCCTCCATTCTCCCCCTCTCGGGGTACGACGGCTTCCCCAACCCCGCATCTCAATGTATGCTCCTCCACATCCCTGACCAGGGCAACTCTGCTAGACATCGTTTCTGAATGAGCTGGTGTGGTGACGCGAAGCGGCTGGAATTCTTGAACACGTTCACGTTCTCGTCTTTTCGGGTTTATGCAAGCCCTCGGTGGTCCCATGACGGTCCAAGACGCCCCCACGATGGCTGCGAGGCAGCCCAAGAGGGCCCCAAGACGGCCCAAACAGTCTCTGCCAAAGAAGCCCTCGAGAGAGCCCCAAGAGTGGGAATTTGCAGAGGCTCCTGGAGCCCTCCCCGACAAGATGGCTCCCAAGACCCTCAGCATGTCCCCAAGGAAGCCCCCACAGGGCCCCCATGAGCCTCGAACAAGTTTCCACGAGGCAGTCCCCGAGGCTTCCAAGATGCCATCTAGAAGCCCCGTAACAGACGCGGACAAACAAAAACGACGAACCAACAACAACTACAAACAAACAACACGACGGAACACGGCATGCAAATACGCCATCGACAACCGTGCATATTCTCTTCCAGGGTAGGGATCGGCTGAATTGGCGTAACCCAATTGAACAACACAATTATGGCGGTCAAGTCGAAACCCAATGTAACAAACCCAGTTCGGGCAAAGCAACCACGTGAACATAAACACACATTTACGCCCAACTACTAATTGGGGACTTGCATGCAATCATGTATACTATACTGGCACGCGTTTGCTCGGGCCATGACATCAATCGTATCGAATCGTCAGGCAAATACTTTAACCGGCAGTGGGATGCATGTATGCATCAACCACTACGAGAAATACCAAACTATTATACGCAATGACGGAAGCCGAATCGCCCGCCATGCCGCAACACAAAACACAACGAATGATAGACATCAAAACCCAAATGCCGACGATCCTCATAATGTATGTATGTGTGTGTGTGTGTGTGTGTGTGTGTGTGTGCGTGTTGCCCTAACGTGTGCTCGTGCTCCGAAACCCTTCAACACGACGTAATCGGTGGAGCTCAAGGCCGACGCAATCTGCGAACCATCGGCGGGACATAATGGGGTAAACACACATTGGTCGAACACATTCTGAAGATCATCGAACATGACTTGCGGCCAAACCGTGAATGCGCGGTACGCGCCTGAGGGGCGTCGCCAGAGGCGCCGACAAGCTATTGATACCGCTCTACACTACTGTGTACCCTGTGGGCTTACCGGGAGGAGCTGGGAGTAGAGTCAAAACCAGCAGTCAGGATGCAGTACTTAATCAAAACTACCCTTGTATCCCAACGTTCTTATCCTTGCATCCTTAATCGGCTTGCCGCCGCCGCTATCGTCGCTATCGTTTCGACACCGACGTCAACGGGCACTGCATCCTTGACCAGCACTCTTACGCATTTGCCATTGACATTTGCTGTGCCTCACGGGGCTGCGTGTGTAAGTATATGTGTGTGTGTGTGTGTGTGCAAACCTGAGAGTCGTAACTCCTCCTCCTCCTCCCCAGAACCTCCGACCTCGTGCCTGTTTCCATCTAAAGGGCCCAAAGATTGCGACCCGTCCCGGGGAC